TTATCTTCATCTCTCAAATTTCCAAATGGAAGATTGAAATAATATGATTTATTTTCTTCCTTGAGATTCTTTTCTGATGCGGTTATATTTTTTTCCTGTTTTAAAACTTCATTATTAATAGTGGTTATTTGTTGTTGAATAACAGTATCATCAATATTTTGTATTTGTTGTTGAATATAGGTTTTAATTTCGCTATCATCAATATTTTGAATTTGTTGTTGAATATAGGTTTTAATTTCGCTATCATCAATATTTTGTATTTGTTGTTGAATATAGGTTTTAATTTCGCTATCATCAATGTTTCGAATTTGTTGTTGAATATAGGTTTTAATTTCGCTATCATCAATATTTTGTATTTGTTGTTGAATATAGGTATATATAGTTTCTAAAGCAGTTAATTCCTGTTGTAATCTATCTTCATTTATACCTAGTGGAATGTTATCTATTAATTGTTGAACATCCATTTTTTGCTTTGCAATCTTATCATCTAATTAAATTTTGTAACTGAGTTTTGTCCACAACATCTACCAATTATTGTTGAATAAAACTTTTCAAACTTGTTACCTTTTGCTGTAGTTTAGTTTCATCAATATAATTAGATTTTTCAGTTGACGTCTCAAGAATCTTTTCACATCACTTATTTTATCTACTTCAATTGAATTTATTTGGTCCAGTAAATATTTCTTGTGAACAGCATCATTATCATTTTCCGGAGACTTTATATTAATTATTTTGAAATTGTTCATATCTAAATCATCTCTAAGTGTAAATGATGTAGTGTTAGGTTTTTAGTTTCTAAAGGTAAAGTACCTAATCCAAATTTGTTCGCCATTTTTATTGAGTTAAATTTGTTATTTCTTCAAACTGTTTTTTTTCTAAGCTTAATGATATAAAACCCAAAGTGAAAGTTGTCCACAAAAAATGTAGAACATTTGATTTGTTCAATTTCATTATCTCTCCAGTTGGTTCTAATCCAAAAGAATCAAAAGAATAAAAGTTATTTAAAGAGTCTTTGTTTAGAGCAGAGTGATGAACTCCGTTTTGATCTGAAGTATGTATATTTGTTATAGCATAAAATTCTTATATTTGAGATCATTTATTTCATCTCGCATACAAGAATAAAACGGTGATATATTTAACTCATTTGCTCATCTCATAAGTTGAAAGTATGTTGTTGTATCAGTTCCATATTTATCATTTTTAAAAGTCAATTTTTTCAATTCACTTTGGTAAAACCTACCTATGATTTGTTTTGATCGATTAATTCATATGTTGAAGGTTATGTGCTATATACTTTATCAAGATAAATATTTCGTTTGTCCAATAACCAACATATCCCTTCTCGAATTTACTTTTATATTTGAAAATACGAACTCGGTCTCCAACTTTAAACTTTTCCTTAAAGTCTATATCTTTTATTTCATTTTCAAAATTATTAGTAGAAGAAAACTTTAAAATATCTGGATTTTGACTCGCTTTCAGTACTACAGTGGGTAAGATCTTTAACCATTTTTGAGACTTAAGTTCTGTGAATTTTTTAAACAGTTTTGATTTAAGCGTTTTGTTAAATCTTTCTATTACTACAGCTTTTCCCTCATTATGAGTACTTTATTTTTCAAACCCATGTTTCTGTTATAAAACTCTGTTCCAGCATCAACCCATAATTTCTTTGGTTTTTTACCAGATTGTTTCATAATCGTTTCAAAAGCATGTTTGACTGATAATCCTGTTTTGTTTTTCAAAGGAATAAGCCAAGCATATCTTGTATATAAATCTATAACTGTTAAACAATATTTAAATCCTCTTTCGACTGGCATATTAATTAAATCAGCTGACCATATTTCATCTTTATCAAATACTTTAACTTTTAAAATGTGCTAATCCCACACCCAATTTCATCTTTGCTTTTAACAGTTTTATAATCAGCACTCGTTCCATTTTCTCTTTGAATGTTGGATTTGGGATATTTTCAAGTTCGTTTATCATTTGTTTTTCTGCTTCGTGTCTAAACTTTATGTCTATATTTCTGTATAAAATATCATGTTTAAGTGCAGCAGCATCAACTCTATTGACAGGTTCTTCACCTGGTTTGGGTTTATCTTTTTCGTCTAATTGCAGATCTGATCTTGTTCCTGGTCCAGTATAATTATGAGCTGGAAGATGTTTTTCTCCAGAATACTTTACCCATGGAAAACAAGGAAGAGAACCTATTGATTTTTGTATATCTGAACCAAATGTTTTAGGACCATTAGCAATTATCATAGACGTTTTTATCCTATAACTTTAAAACCTTTTTCTTTTTTTTCTAAAGCTATTCTCCTGTTTCGCAGTTCTCTTATTTGTTTCAATTCTTTCAGCTTGTCAGCTTTATATCCGGAGGAAATAAGTGATATGTTGTTTGAAACAAACTAGCTACTTTTGGAATTAGAGAAGATAGTGCTGAAAAGAAACCGTCCCCTGAATAATCTGTAGTTTCAAATTTGTGTTTTTCGTGTTTTAAAATTAAACTCCTCCTATTTTCAAACTAGTTAATTTAAAAATAAAATGAGGTTTTTATGGTAATGAAACGTAGAGTTGATATTTTGGGTATAAGAGCTTTCAGATTATAAGCACTCATATGTATGGAATCTGAAACGTGGTCTAATGGGAAAAGATTCTTGCTATGCATGTGCAAAGGTTTAAAAGGACAGACTTCAGCGTTATGTAGTCAGTCGGTCGTGGGATGGAACTGGGTGAGTTTTGCTCTGTAAGCTTGGTCTGTAGGAGTTAGAACACTCCGCTCTCAGATCTAAACAGCCTGTAGCACATGGTGACTCGGTTTATTGTCCCATCCGAACGACTAGACGCTTTTTCCATGTCAGCCCCTCTCACCTGCATCACTGACGGGGGGAAACCGGGTTGAAAAATCCGAAAGTATTATCTCAACCTATGCCGGGATTGAACCCTGGACCTTCAGGTTAGTCAGCAAACGTCTAACTCACTGAGCCACCACGGCTCCCTGTGTTCGTTATGTGAAGTTATGTGAATATTAATAAACATATTTAGTTTAAGCTTATTCCTTAGATTACTCTCGGAAACCACTATCCAGCATCTAGATTGAAACCCTGATGAGTATTACTTGAGGAGAGGCTTGGCAGTTTAATTGGAGAGTTGTTCAAGAGCCATACCATCCCCCCCACCTTGCTACATATTAATGGTGTCAAATTCCAAAGTTCAAATTTGACAATTTTTTGATGAATGTTTTTTGAGTTTAAACACTTGTTTGTGAACACAACAGAGGCCCAGAGAACAACACCACAGAAGTGTTGTGACCATGTTCTCTCCAGTGCCTTGTCTGCAACTCACCAGAATAAGTTGTATGTAACTTTTCTTACAATTGACCATATGCAATACATCAAAGGCATCGACAGGATGTTGTTACAACAGTGTATAAATAATGTTGCCAACGACGTACTATGTCCCATGCCTTTCATGTGCACTAATTTTCTTCGAATGACTTCTAGGCTATTTTGTTGTTCTGTCGGAAATGAGCAAACAATTTAACCAAATTTCTACACATGCATAGCAAGTGGAGCAGCGTGATCAGGTGTTCACATATAAGCAGAGCAGGGCGACATGTTATCAATCATTCGCTATGGACGATGTTGTGTGTGCATTCCTATTGCTTGACAGCAAAAAAAGACACGGAAATCTTCGGTGCATGCATTAATGTAAGCAGTTACAAGTAGGTGAGAGCTAGTAAAACGATTTGTTAGGAATATATACTGAAGAGTATTGTGATGGATCTGTTGGGTCAGAATATTGGTTGGGTGTTCTTAAAAGTTAAGTAGGTTTACTGGGCATTAGATTCTTCCTGAACACAACTACTTTCTATTTGTTTTTACAATTAATAATTGCTTCAATTCCAGCTTTTTTTTTATGAGAAGTCCAAATCCAAATACTTCCAGTGGGTCTTTTTCTTCTACTTTCTTCCTTGAAATTTCAATGGTTTCTTTCAACAGATTGAGCGCCTCTCGCTGTCCCAACATGTTGTGCTATCCTTTTTTGACAATGAATTCATCTTTCATGAAAAAAGCTTTGTAAAATCTGAACTGAGATTACTGTCAAAGGCTGAAGCACTATTTGAAGTTTGAGTGGTACAAAATTACCAAGGTCAGGCAGAAGGTCCAACAAACAGACTGACCGGTCAGAAACAACATGCCTAGATCATTCAATGTGGGGCAATAACCATTCTAAAACAGTATAGATAACCACTGTCAATTTCATTCTGTTAGTTATTTTATAGTTTCTTATTACCAGAGACTGCTAATATATCTGCCAATACGCAAATTACCTTTTCACAATATACATCTATTATATATTGTTAAATTGTACCTGAACTGTTCACAATCGATTTTTTGTACTTGTGTCAGCAACAAAATAATACATACATACATACAATTTCTCTACTCCACTTGCAGTGTTTAGAGCTGAGCGTCTGTACATTGAAAACTAACTAGTCATTAATGATGCGAATAAATGCTCTGCTCCGCCCTGCTCAGCTTGTAGTGTGAACATACCCTTATAGTCTTCAAGAAGCACTATGTTTTACACAAATAAAATTTACCAAAGACCTGATAAAATCTGAAACCTCTCTCAGATTTTCTTTCTGGTAAGGCTATGACTCTGAAACTGTACAATGGATGATTTAACTGTAAAATTCATCAGATTATCTCGCCCATTCACAATGCTTTGCAAGTTTTGTCCGAATTGTTCGAGTTACATGTCAACTTTGACTAAAATATGCCTGAGCTAAGAGCAAGAACTCAAAATTTTTCATGGAAAATTTGCAGAAATTACCTCAAAAAATACAAAACGTAACTGGTTTCATCATATCAGCTCCAAACTGTAGTCGCTATTGCTCTCACAAGCCAATCATGGATGTACAGATGAGCTGATATCAAAACAGATGGACAAGTGTGACCAAAATATTACATTGTGTTAGTTTAATGAGATTTTACCTTAAATTTTGTCCTCCTTCTCCACATTCATAGTCTAATTCACATGTCAGACCTTTTACAAAACTTTTCAAATGAGCATGATCTAATGCTTTCCAAACTTCATCATCATTGTGCATGTCAAATGGATCAAGATTCATTCGCAGTGTACCAGAAAAAATCACAGGGTCCTGGAATAAAATCACAATTTACTTTATTTCTGAAAAAAATTCGGCACAATCTTTCAAAAATTCGACAGCACATAGTATTTTATTATTGATTTACCTTAAGTAAGTATATTATAGTACATATCCTATGTGTAAGTTTGTATAACTATTATAATCTGAACTATCTTTCTTGCAGCTTTAATTGATATACATTGTACTGTTAACAGATCAATTACTAGAAGTGTGAACAGCTCCGAGCGTGGCAACAAGACCTCATCCCATGGTTTTTGTACTTTTTGAAATTTCTGGTCTGTCAACTTTCAACCCTGGTGTTCTTCAGCCTACAATTTTTGAACAACAAATCAAAATTCTGAGGCATCTGGTATCAATAAATCAAGTATATAATTACACTCCAGAAATGTGACTTCAAAATTCCAAATTTGAAGAGAATAATTGAGAAAAATGTTACGGCATAAAAAAAATTATTGTCTACATGAGTGAAGCTTTTGAAAATTTTTAAAATTGACTGTGATCGGGCGATAAACTATGCATGTCTGCCCCCAGCATAAAAAAGATATCGGGTGAAGAGTTACATATATGTTATTATTCATTATAGATCCCAATTTCGTCTTGGTTATCTATTTTAAAGCATGGCGTCATTTGGTCTTGTGAACAAACATGGAGTCTCAATTGAGCTTCTCAAAGCAGATTTGAGTAAATGACTTTACCAGGCCATCCACATACAGTATTTCAAATGAATATATTTTTAATTCATTAGAAGCACTGTTTAATCAATTAGTAAGCATGATTTGACCAAGAAAGATGAGCAAAGGCATCTTTAACAGTCATAAGATCTTAACATCGGCACAAAAGTCAATTATCACACCTTCAAATTTGATTCAAAATTAAAACAAATCGGCCAAGCCAATAGCTGAAATACATAATCGATTAGGACTGATTGAATTCATAACACAAAAATTGTTGATGTAACGGGGTCCATATAAAAGATGGTAAAACAGGATTATAATACAGTTTATTAACAATTGCATCTGTGAGACAACATTTGAATGAAGCCAACTTAGACAAACAGGCATAGGTATAAATATATAAGAAAAACTGTGAAATAAATAAATAAAGTAATCATTGAATATTTAAAGATAAATTTTTAGAAAATAACACTTAGTTATAGGCCCGTATGCACCAAATGAAATTAAGCCTACAGTAATTTAATTCTAATCTGGCTGAATAACATTAACTTTTAATTTAATTCTATATTTTGCATAATTTAATGCTTGGTCGAGACCAGTTTTAACTTTTAATTCTATTTGTAAATAAGTAGAAATTCCGTTTGTGACTCTTCAATGTTCCAAAATGGACGATTATTTTGACGATTTAGAAGATTTTGGTGAAATCAACCGTGTTATTCCCATCAATAGACATGTCAGGGATCGCCTGGACCCCTTCACATGGTTTTCGGAGGAGGAATTTAAAGCAAGGTTGAATAAACAATCAGTGTTGATCAAAAAATGAAAAAAATGAAACATGACATATTCCGTATCTAATTTATTATGACGTTCATTTGCTCCTTCGAAGAATTGAAAGAATTAAATATATCGTTTGATCTTACTCTTGTTGATGATTATCATAAAAGCTGTAAGATTTGTAACAACCCTCGCTGTCAAACCTGTCCCTTCATTTTACCAACAAAGTCTGACATCAACACTTCAATCAACCCGATCACCAATTAACAGACCTGAAAATTATTCCCATTGAACAGATATACGAACAACCTGGCATTGATACAAAGAAGGTTACGCCTACATGCCTGTGCCTGTGCTTTCGTAACATTGCTTAACCGCAATGTTACAACCTAAAATTCCTGAACTATATAACGTCTACAATTAAATAACCTTATCCTAATTCCTAGGAGTTCTGATTATACAACAATTTTAAATCCATAAATATCAAGACAAAACCGATAAACTCCAGCTGTTTTCTTAATGAAAACATAAAACAAAGTAACTAAGAAACTAGCCAAACTGCCACCTATAGGAAAAGACTATTAAACTTTACTTAAATTTACTCATGATAAGTGATACACATTAACCATGACCAAGTCTAGCAGACATTATATTACACCCCTACATTGTCATTTTGTCATCACGTGTCACATGACAAGTTGATTGGCTTAATGTCTGTTTTTTGATCCCTACTTGTACAAGAGTCAGTTTTTGAAAAAAAGATTTGTGCAAGAAAAGTAAAAGTCTGTTGTTTTGGTGTGTTTTGGCCCAATGTAATTTATCATAAAGTTTCTTCACATCATGGAGGGGGTGAAGCAATAGTTGTTAATTTAAATCTGTATGAGCTTTTGGTCTATGCAGTGCTTAAACCACGCATCTTCCTCGTAAAATTTAGACCACGTGAGAGGGTAGTGATTCTCAACCTGAAGACACATCCAAGACTCCGTCAACTGAATGGGTTTTGCCAATTTAGTCGTGAAATGACTCGTTTCATTATCCGAGTAATATTTAGAGCTCGAATTCGACAAAAGTGTGATATGAAAATCTTCATCCATGAGTTCCGTTCTGATTGTTATAACAAGCTACTGTGCAAATGCTCCACATTTCGAAAACAAATAGTAGAAAACCTAGTAATACAGTTAATACATAGACACAGATTTCTCCTACTATCTGAGATAATGGTGATGAATCGTATGTTACACTTTCGTCCTCGTCCATTTATGTCGGTAGCCTTTATCCAACTGTCGAACAATTTTCCGTACCCCTTCCCTCATACCTTATGATATTTGACTCCCTTCGATTTCTCCATGAATAATATAGTTTCGATATCTTATTGATCCGGAGGGGTGAACTTTATTAACTCTTCCAGTTAGTATCCTATCCGTTGTCTATAAATCATCTTAACCACCATAAATATATATACATATATACCACTTTTTGAACGGCTCTTTGATCTCGCTTATTGCCTATTTCAAATTCTGCTTTCTCATTGCTTGTTTTTCGCGGAGGAAATAAGAGTTTTCAAAACGATATCCTCTTTCGACATTGTTACATCCTCCGGTTTCATTTTTATGCTTCTGTGGAATCTTGAATTATAGCCTCTGACTAATTTAGGTAAGGCTTTTACATAACTGTAGGTTTTGTTTCTCGTAAACAAAAGAAACATTTTTCCTTTGAGCGTTCTACTATCGACAATTTCACATCCGCAGTTTCGGGCGTGTAAAAACCTATTCCACGCATTTTTAGAAGCGCCTGAAATTGTTTGTTGAGAAACTCCAAACCTATGTTTGTCTGCTAAACTATAAGTTTCCTTTGGGATTCTGACAAAAAATTTTCTACCTGATGTTGGTTATTAGTACGTTTCAACGGTAATTCCTGTGAAAACTTACATAATACGTCTAAAACACATAATAGACGACAAATCACTTAAATCGGCTTGCCAAACATGATCTATGCTGTGTTCTATTGTTTTCTCCCCGCGAAATCGTCCTCTCAGCTGTATGTGTTTGGTGTATGCGGGTTGAAACTCAACCATTCTTTCGATCGAGACGTTGATATTCTTTTTTATTCATTTTTTCAGTTTTATAGTTTGTAGGCTCCACCATAACCAGCAGGGTGGTACGGGTCGTAATAAATGCTAGTCAATAATCTATCCGTCTTTTTATTTGATTAATTACTTTCCCAATTGCTTACCAATTTTTGTTGTATTCTTCATCTCCGGTTTTAATGGGGGAGACATTTCCACCTTTCCTGTAAAGTTGGCTGGTTCTAACAGTTCATAAAAAATGGTTCATAACCATTCCTCGACACTTGAAAAAGGATAATATTTCGAAAACCGGTTCGTGTCAATTGCGTAAGTTTTTGTTTTACTTGTTATAATTTTTCACATCATTGTTAGCGTTATTTATCACCTAAATATATATTTTTTTGCATTTTTCATCTTACTTTATATATCCCCAAAACCCAGTTTGACTTATTTGCATAATTTGATCCCAACATTTTCACGCTAGCATATACAGTTTCCTCCTGTTACATCCGCTGTACATTCCCTTCTAACCCCAAGTTATTTTCATTATGCTCCCCAACTACAACAACCACTGGCAAGAAGCCAGACATAGAAACACTGATCGTCAACCAAACCAATACCACGTACCCTACAACGGCCCTGTCTTCCATCAACCTCTACCACCTACCAATCGCCGACCACCAACCAACCCATCCAGCTATATCCCACCCCATCGCCGACCTACCTACAACACAGCCTACCAATCAAGAGGTAACCATCGACCTGACCAACAACAGAAACGACTACCAGCCCACCGACGCCAACCAGTCCCCACTCATAAGGAAGAAGAACTCTTTGTGAAGGTGTTCTTCCAAGTTTTGCAGTGCCTCCATCATTTGGCAATCCTTACCCTTCAACAGCAAGGCCAATCAGCGTTTACCTTCAAACGCAAAGTCTCTGAGTTGGATAGTTTTATCCGTCCAGCAATGAAAACATCAGCTGCCAACGCGAATATTAGATCCCTCAATCGGACATGGCTCTGTAAGGTTACACAGGTCCTGATCGACCATTACCAAACCACACTTCAAGAGAAGCTGACCACCATTCGTACCAAGTCTTTATCATCACCTGCCGTCGACCGCATCGTTTCTCATGCCCTGTCCTGGGCCCGTCGCTCCTATGGGAAACGTCTCACTCAAGCTGTAATCTCCAAATTCTACCAAACAATCAACGAAACAAAAACCAGAGTAACCATATCTCTACCAACTGAAATAGACACTACACCTGCACCATCTAGAGCCACCACACTGCCGAACCAAACCCCTAAACGAGCCCGAAGTTCACCTACTCCTAGTCCAGCAGACATAGGTAAACGCTCTCGTAGAGAGGGCACACCCCTTCTCTTTTCACTTTCAGACTCGTCTTCCCCTTCCACACCATCTGAATCTTCACCACGTGATCCAGGATCCGCCAACCTTTCTTCCTTCTGTGCGTTTTTG